GTGTTATATTTATGGGATAAAGTGCTCAATATCAGAGATAGACCGTGTGTAAATATAAAAGTGGACATAGAAATCAACACTTAGTTCAGTCTGTTCCAAGCTATATGCAATCGTCAGGCCAGGTATATAGCATGAAACAGACTGTCGCCTCTATGTTGATATTCATTTCACTTTATATATATATATATATATATATATATATATATATATATTTGTAATGTTATTCCTATATCTTCCTCATTTGTCCCATAACTATCCATATCTCCGTCGAAGTACGTCTACAATAACACGCCAAGCACGGAAATCACCACGGGGCCACTATTACACATAAAAAAGGACAAACAAACAACCCGTAAGTTGAAAGAAATTTGAATAAAATTTGAATAACATTAAACCATGATATCCCGAATCAAAATTACCAATCTTTCAGCCTTTTAAAAATATGGAATAAAATCCTCACCATATTTAATATTATTGAAGTTATCGCTAATATTTTGTCGAGATTTAAAAACTATACATTTCGTTCAATTTCACAAACCAATCGATGAAATTTGAAAAAGCCGATTAGCTTGGAAAAATACTTTGACAAAAATCCTACTTCGCAGTTTAATAATTGCCTTAATTTAATTTAATTTTATAGGACTTCATGGTAAATAATATTTTTAATTTGGTTTCGATCGGTCAGTGTATGGCTATTTTAGGTGTGACATACGACGGACTAACGAAAATCACAGTGTTTTATATATAGATGCCATATTCTCTTCAGTTGGACGGGAAAGGGATGAGCTCCTTCAGGGCTCCATTGCCCAACGCCCAATACGTATGAATGAATACCCTACGACTTCACCCAGGCATCAGATGGATAATGATGATGATGATTATCTACATCAGTTGTTTATTTTCTGATGACATAGCAATTCTTTTTCTTTTTTTGTGGATTCAGACAATTCGTTTAGTCTCATGCTAAATAAACCATTTGGTTCTGATCCACACTGCTTTCTAAAAGTCGTGAAATGACGATCCGTGATAAAATCTAACTGAAGTGAAAGGGTAAAGCAGGATTTTCGAATGACATTAAACTATGATATCTTAAATAAACACTTGACATAACTAGAAAACGGAACTTAACAGCACTTGTTGCGTCGACATTTATTTCGGTCTCGAGGGACATGTCTATAAATTACTAAAACAAAAGTCATCAAAACGTATTTTGAGCTATTGTTAGAATTAGTTTCTCCGTACACAACAGAAATCTTCAATCTTATATATATATATATATATATATATATATATATATATATATATATATATATATATATGTAGGAAATCCTTCCTTTATGCATGTTTCATTAAAAACGACAGACAAGGTACTATAGTTAAGCTTTTTATTTAATTTTTCTTATGTTCGAACAAGAGCTTACTTTTCTGGACAAAGGGTGTGCAAAATCTGTCCAAATGTTTTATATTTCCGAGCGCTTTCGGCTATACCTTTAGCCATTATCAAGGATATTCGATTTTCAGCTTAATTGAGTGTGTGCGTTCTGTGTATGTCTTAGTGTGTGGTAGGAATGTTTTTAATTTCTGAATACGGTTAACACATTGTGGCTTTGTTCGTAGTTAATATTGTTAAGAGTTTGCTTTTTCTTTTTTATTATTAAAGCTTCCATTATTTTTAGTCTTTTTTTTGCAAGTGGATGCAGTTAATATATTTGTGTTTTCTACTAGTATGTTCCTAATGGAATCAGGTAAATTTGTGTGTGTTTTAAATGTGTTCTAATGGAGCTGTGATCAGATAGGTGTAACGTAAGACGTCTCGATAAGCATGTAGTTGTGTAACCGATGTAATTATTTATGAGTCCGGTTTGATCAGGAACACAGTTCCTTAATAATGGCTAAAAGTATAGCTGAAAGCACTCCTGAAATATAAAACATTTGGACAGTTCTTACAAACCCTTTGTCCAGAAAAGAAAGCTCTTGTCAGAACACAAGAAAAATTAAATAAAAAGCTTAACCGTAATACCTTGTCTGTCGTTTTTAATGAAACGTTCATATATATATATATATATATATATATATATACTATAGTATAGTATAGTATATGAAATGACTCGGAGTCACGGCCCAGAATAACGCCTTCCCAGCATAAAACCAAGTATAGTTTAGTCTAATTCAGAATAAGCCCAAGGCATAGGTGGGGTAGCTTGAACCATACATCGAGTATAGTGCAGTCTAAACTATAGAGTCTAGGTCAGTTTATACCCGCCGTTACTATTATTATCAACAACTGTTGCTTTTTTACTACAAAGTTGCGTGAAGGCTACAATCTATAAACTAGTAATCATGGCTGATAACTCATTTAACTTTTTTTGTTAATCAATTAACCTCACGCAAGACAATAATTTCATTCATCTATGTCGTCCTCTTCATTATCTATCTATCTATCTATCTATCTATCTATCTATTTAGTTGCTGAAAGCTCCTGAAGAGTGGACTGAACAATTACAAAAAAATTAATGTACGAAACTCTAGATTCGAGGTGCTAAATCAAATAAGTGAAAATTTTGTTTTGTATTAATCTCTCACTTTCTTTCTTTCTTTCTTTCTTTCTTTTTATTTAAATAAAACCTTCCTATAACTCTTGAGCGATGCATAAAAAATCCATACATTCAGTTAAAAGTGAATGTGACACTATTTAGCGGTTATGTGAAAATTAAAAGCAAGAAATACTTAAGGCGAGAAGAAGCTATCACGAAAGACATACTGAGCGATGTTATTTTTTTTAACAAAGAAAAGTGGTAAAGATTTTATTTTCATTTGCGAAGAAAAGTATTTTTTTTTCGCAGAAGATAGGAAATTTGTAAGATCTCGGATCTGTCAGAATTAATTTATGCTATGACGCGGCGAATAAAAGATAGCAATCTGCCCATGGCAATAATGAAAATTTCCTACAAGTGGCCTACAAAACAGAATGTTAAAAGATAATCAAATTTAGGTCGAGTACCGACCGAGAAAAAGATCAGCTGAGGCCACCCCAAAGAAAAAGGAAGGGAAAAGAGAAAAAGGGAAAGAATAAACCATTAACTATCTTTCGGAGATATCATTTGGTTTTGGGAAGAGACACCTGTTTTATTTCCAGACGTGGACATGATGAAGATTGTTACCGGGACAGATTATTGGCGACAGGGTGCGAAGACGTTCAGTTGACCACCCATTTAACGCTTGGCGAAAATCTCGTTGATAAATTCCAGATGACATTCAGTTAAGATAGAGATTAAGGACCACAGTACGAGTCGTAGGAGTCTGGTCGAGGAAAAGAAAGAAAAGAAAAAGGAATATAATTTTTTTCTTTGAGCGATAATTGTAAGCTGAGGCCAGACTGGCCACGCCCACGCTGCCGAGCGTTCATCGTCACAGGATAGCACGGAGGCAGAGAGGCTGGGGTGACGTCACAGAATATAAAATCTTCTTTTGATAATGGCTAAAAGTATAGCCGAAAGGGTGCGGACGCACAGAATATTAGAACAATTTCTACAAAATCTATGCACAGAAAAAAATATATAAGAATACAAAAAAAATAAATAAATAAATAAAATAAAAACTTAACCGCAGTTTCTTTTTATCAAAACTTGTATAAAAGCGGAAAATACACACACACACACACACACACACACACACACACACACACACACACATATATATATATATATATATTGATATCTGTGACATTTCCTATTTATCGAAAATAGTTGTTTCTTAAGAATACAATAATACCTAACAAAACAAATTACAAATAAAGATCACAAATAACGCAAGAAACACAATTTATCCTAAAACACGCAGCAATGAAAAATTCTACTTATGCTTCTGGAACAGTCATTCAAAAACATATTTAAATTCTTAGAATTCACACTACATCACGATCAGGTGACACTGCATGATTTCAAAACTAAAATAATAACATGGCGCTCATATGAAAAGACCAGCGTTCATAACGCAAAATTATAAAAAAAATTATTCCAAAAATACAAAGGGATATAGATTTTTGATTTAACGGATTTTTTAAATTTTTAAAAACTAAACACACTCGGAGATTAGATAAATGAACATGACCTCAAGAGCGTTCATTGACATCCTAAGGTACTCTAATATTTTGCAATAAAATATGGAAATCACGTGTCAACAAATTTTTTTATTAAAACGTAAGTATATCTTTTCCGTTATCATTAACAAAACATATCTTGATTTATATATATATATATATATATATATATATATATATATATATATATATATATATATATATATATACACTGCGTGTAAGTTATTATTGAGATAACTTCCTTTATCACTGACCTGCGCAATCACTGAAATTTTTCGACCTGATCTGCGCAATGTAAACAAACTGGCGCCATATATTCATAGATTGGTCAGTGTTTCCAACATTGTGTAAAAATTTTGTGTGAATTGATTGGACGGTTTTTAGAAAATATTAGAAAAAAAGTTATCTCGATAATAATTTGGCACGCAGTGTATATTGCTTTTGATCCATAGTTTGAGAGGGAAAAGATGGATTATTTCTTTATCAAAAAGAGATTAGTTCAAAAATGAACGCAGTACACGAGAACGGGAATTGAACTCATTTGGTCGATTCAACCGTTACACTCCCTTCAGATAATATTTCATTATAGCAGCAAAAAATAAGTAATGTTGGTAAAATATTGTGTCTTGTTCATTGTCAATGGATGAATTTCCGATAGACGAGCTTTTGAGACTTTCTGTACTCCAACAATGCAGAACTCCCTTCATAGGTTTGATTTATAAACTCTATAGATGGCAACAATAATGTCTGGATTATCTCAATAATCTCTTGTAATCCAATCTGGTACATTCTTCTTTGAAGTCATCCTATTACTCGACGGTGATTGCATGTCTGGATTAGGCTTGGACCGGGGCGAAAACTGAAAGTCTGTAAATTCTACATGCAATGGCGACCGGGATATATACGATCACCGAAGTTAAACTAAGTTGAGCCTGGTTAGTAACTAGATGGGTGACCGCTTGGGAATACCAGGTGCTGGAAGCTTGGATGAGCGGGTGGTGTAATGGATAATGACGCGAAATTGTTAGTCGTAGAGCCGAGTTCCAATTCCAGTTGGGTTCGTTAGATTCACTTGCGGAAAAGTATGAATCCACATCTTTTCCCCAGTTATGGGTTAAATAGTAGGGCGTGTATCATTAAATTAATTATAATAAAAAATATTCTTGCACTTTAAATGTATTTTACTGGCTTTAGATGACCTAAAAATGTTTGATTAACCGTAGAAAACGAATCAATAAATAAGTAAAACCGACTAGGATACAGTCCTCACAATCTGCTTGACTAAGCCAAGACACGAGATACAGATCATAGTTGTCATATTGCAAGCTCTGGAATACGTACCTACTCACCTACCTAATAATTTGCTTGATTTTTTAAAACGGGTATTTTATTCTCGGGCATTGAACTTTAAAATGGATTTCATCCTTTGAGCTGAAAACTGAAGGCTGAAACCTGATCCTGGAAAACTGTGATTTGTAAAGGTTTTGCCAATTTTCCAACGTTGAGAAGATAATTCTTTTTCAGCGCGCCACGTCGCTATCGAATGTAACACAAGGTCGAAGTTTAGAGTGTGTTTACCGGCAATACCGTGGAAAAATTGCCTAAGCCCCGATGGCACTTGCCCTTTCGTGGACGCCCCAGCCAACGAGCAATAGACCCAACCTCAACCCAAAGAAGATGTATTGCCTGGTCTTAAAATTTTTCACCCTACCCGACACCCGAAAATGCTAAAAAGCCCATCGCTGAGAAGATACACATTAAGTCAAACCAAAACTTTTTATCCTATGATCCTAAGATTATGATTTTAGTAAGACACAAGGTTTTATAAATAATTTTCATAGATAAAATAATAAAGGATGATATTAGGAAATTATTTTCGTTTCACACCTGACCAGTTCCCTTCACATGTCCAGATTAGAAGCAGAGAGGTATTCTTTGATGTGCTGCGTGTCATGGGCAAATTAGACCTTGCGGAATCAATTCACCTCCAGGTCAAACCAAAGCAGATATCTTCCAACTTGGACGCTCGATTTCACCAAGGACACGTTGCAGTTGATTCCATCGGATGAATTCTTTACCCAGGCTGTTGACTTCAGTCTACGTAGACCTCCCACAAGCAATGCCGTGTAATCGCCCCACTTGCTGCATACATGGCCCAGTCTACCGCATTATGTTAGAGGGCCGTTGACTTCAGTTTATACGCTCTTTAACGGGTTTTAGTTTTAATCGAACTAGGTGTCTAGCCGACCTCCTCAAAAAAAAAAAAAAAAAAAAACATGCGGGGAATAGGTTTATTCACCAAAGACCTGAGTATTGGGTTACTTGGTACCAGTAGAAATTCTAGACTGGCCTGACATAAAAGAATATAAACTTATTGTTGCTAGCTGAAAAAAATAGTATCTTACTGAACTATTTGGAATTTATTTTTAAACGAGTAAAAATCGACAAGTCGTCAATATTATCAGAAAGTTATATTTCTAATTATTATTGTTGAATTATGCTCCTTCAAGGAGTCGAACGTTTCGCTTGCCAGCTGTGCAAGCAAATTTGAAGCTGTCCGCCATTGTCATAATAAAGAAAAATGCCACCTGGTGTCTGTACTGTGAGTTAAATTTACTAAAGCAAAAGCACAGATATTAATAACAAAAAACACTGGAGTATTATAGAATAAGATTAGAAAAATGAATATTCCAATGTTATATATTGTATTTCATTGACAATGTAAGATAAAAAGAAAAAAAAGCATCATTCGCTAGGATACGATGGAAATATGTGACAGGAAACCAAAGCTGCATTAAAATAAAGAGATATATTAGACATCAGACAATATCGTCAGAAACATTTTTAATCTGTTATGGTAAAAAATGCAGAACCACATCCTCGTGTAAGAGACTGGCAGGAACTGAGATGTGGTTTCCAGGATTGCTAAGAAAACAATAGACAGAACATATAAGCTACAGTAAAACAGCATCAAGAAAAAACTTATGTGGGTGATCTGAAAGGTTCATAGGCTGAATACGAAGCTGTGATTCTAGAGCTGTGAAATCCTGCATGCATTAATTTCAATACTTCTTATTAATAACTGCAATCTTTCCAGGTATAAGGATGAGCTGAAAAGTTCATAGGCTGACAATGCAGATGTGATTATAGAACTGTGAAATCTTGCATGCATTGATTTCAGCTCTTCTTTTTAATAACTTTATTGCCTTTCTCCATGTACGAGGGTAGACTGAAAAGTCCATAGTCTGACTATGAAGTTGTGATGAAAGATCTTTGACATCTTGTATGCATTAATTTCAACTCTTCGTTTTAATAACTTGTCTCTTTCCATGTACGAGGGTAGACTGAAAAGTACAAAGGCTGACTATGAATCTGTGATGAGAGAGCTGTGAAATTTTGCATGCATTAATTTCAACTCATTTCATATTCATAACTAGCAGCATGGCTCGGAGTTGCCCGGGCTTGATTCAAAAATCGTACGACTCATACAGCAAATTTTTGCCCTTCCTTGCCTTTAAAGGAGTGCCCTTTGCCGTGCTGATGTTGCTACATGCCTTACTTCTTGCCTATCTCACACTGAGAATTTTTTCTAAGCTCTATACTAAACATTAAATCTGTAACGAAAAAAGAACTAAACAAAATGAAAACGAAACGATCAGCTTTAAAAAAAGGACTCGTAACTGGAAAAACAGAATGGAAAAAGAATGTTAACAGCAAATACTTTTTCACAACCAAACCAGTTCTGCGGAATCAGAATCAATGTTGAATTTAAGCAAGTGAATGAGCCAATTGGAGTAAAGTGCCATGAAGTTTTATATTATACTTATGACGAATGCAGCTATCGATTTTTTTTTGCATGTTAGCATGCTAGTTAACATTTGTGCCGGTCAGCTGTTGGCTCTCACGCTGGCCAATAGAATCTTCCTGCTTATTCGTGGCAGCCACCTATAGGCTCTCACTCTAGCCAGTACAAAATGGCCACAAACTACATGAAAACTGCCGTAGAAGCATGAAAAAATCGAAAACTATCGATGGAGTTGGGAAATGCAAAGTTATTTTGGCCTTGCTATCGATGGATGTGCATTGGGAAATGCATTTGTTACACACACACACACTCACACACACACACACACCACACACACACACACACACACACACACACACACACACACACACACACAATTGGCCTTTTATAGATAGAGATGCATTGTTTTTTTTGAGGTAAACTGATATCAGACTGTAAATTTTGGTGCAAATCCGTCGGAAATTGCGGCCGTGCATTTGTTACACACACACACACACACACACACACACACACACACACACACACGCAGATAGAACATCATCATCACTGCGATACTGTTTCCCAACTAAGATAGGGAAGAGATGATTGTCAAATCAAGAGTGTGACCCACCAGTTCAAAGCCACAGTCACGCACAGCAGCTGCTGAAATCAAGAAATTGTTTGCTGAAGCATTATCTTTATGAAAAATAACCCCTTTCATCAATTTTCATGGGTGATTATTCTTGCTAACCTTTCGTAACTGTCTCAGCAAGTAGACATAGTACCCTACATTGATGGTGTAGCGGTTTTGAAGATAGTCAATAAACACAATGTCTTTTGCATTCAAAAAAAAAAAGAAGAAAACTGAGGACATCATCTTCCCTGCAGGTGAAACGACGTTGGCCTTCTTTGGAGGAGGTGAGTAGGAGATTTTCCACTGCATGTATTGTCTCTTTGTCTCTGGCTCAACGTAATGAACCCAACATTCACCCTAGGTTAGGAAACGTTCAAGGAAACCAGCTGGTGCCGCATCAATCGATGTCAGATTTTCACGTGATGTGATCAGCCTGTCACCCTTTCCTCAGGTTTCCGAAGATGTGGACCCCACTAAGCAGAAATCTTCGTCATGCCAGGATTTCAGGATGCAGAATATTCTTAACTCTCTCACGGGATGTGCTTATAGCATTGGCTACTTCGTTTATAGTCAGTCGCCGTCATCGATCACTAAATGATGAAAACGATCAATGTTTTTCTCGGTAGTAGCAGTATCGAGACGACCAGACCTTGGGCCATCATCAAGACTCTCCGCTTTCCCTGCTAGATACAGCTGACGACTTTTGCACTGTTGATAATTCTAGAGAGCTATCCTCTGTTGTAGCAATCATGTCAACATGCATGACCTTGGGGCTTAAACTCTTTTCTGCAGTTACTTGATACGACCACGATGCCTAATGTCCATCTCCAAGAGAAGTTGCTACTAGTTATTTGAAGTTTTCTTTGTTGGAAAGAAACAATACAGTTATTAATAGGAAGAGTTGAAAGTAATGCATGTAGCATTGCATAGTCTTCATAGACGGGCCTATGAAATTTTCGGCCGAGCCTCGTAATAAAAAGAGATTATATTTCTGGGTATAGTGAAAAAATAAGATTAAAAGAATATGATTCGCACAGAATATACAGAAATGAAGAGAATTAATGAGAAAAACATGTAAACTGCCATTTTTTGTGAATGAAAGAAAAAAAAATCAGAGGGGGAGTAAAGTATAAAAAATTACTTAGAGCAATACACATCAGTAAGTAATGGGGAGACATGTTCGCCTATGTTATAAAAAGATTTACCACATAAGGAAAAAGAAAACTAGAGTGGATGATGTTCTAGCATATTCATACCGTTCCCATTCTAGAATGGCTTTCGTTCGGCACTAATCTACCAGATAGCAGCAAAGAAATGTAACAGTAACAAGGCGAAGACGAGACATGAATAACGTTTGTTAACGAGGCTTCAGCAAGATTGGTAATCAAAGATGTAAACTGATAAGCTAATAAAAAATATAGATACTTTTGGTCGGTATGCTGGACACGGTGAAGCTGTTTTTGAAAATTTGCCATTAAATAACCTATAAGAGTAAAAGACACCAGAAGATTAGCACATTAGTGTTCCCCTTAAAATACAGTATAAGTTAAAAGAATTAAATAA